AACAAAAACATATAATTAATAAAACAAACATGATACTTGTGAGGGTGGGTGGGCGGGGCAATGTCTGACTGCACTGAGAAAGAGCCTTCGAATGGCATTTAAATCTTACACACGCTAAAGCGTGCGTGCTTTAACAGAATACCTGTAGAACAGGTATTCTATAAATACTTCAACCAATCAGACCGACACTCTTCATATACACTAGATTAACACGTGTCCGATTGATACACGTGTTATGATAACTTCAATAAATACATTTATGTTCTTATTCGTTTCCACTCAAACGAACATAAATAATTTATAAAATAAATAACAACACGTATATAGGTAGGTACAGAAGCGCTCTCGTAAGTGCAGTTTCGACAATAAAGAAAGAAAAGAGATAAAGATTATAAACCCAACTGTTTTATCAATACAGAACGTTTTGATTGTACATTTTCGTGTTCATAACTCTTTGCATTTTACGTCTTCCATGTTCCATGTTTCCTAAGAATTAAGACGATCACTGACACGGGCTGCAGCAGTATCACCACCCGACCTCAAACCATTTTCCCAACATTTTATAAAATCTATAGTCCTAAACTATCTTTGACTAAAAATAAATTAATGACGTCTCTGATGTATCTGATAAAAAAAATATCCAAGTAGCATATTAACCAGACGAGTATCAGAATTCGTACGTGATCATATACACAAAAAGCGCCTTGCTTATAAACATCAGTTTTTATCTTTGCAATGAATAACTTAGGATGAAATTCATAAAAAGAAATATGCGACCTTGGAACTAATATCAACAATTTTAGAAAAACGTAAAACCCTATATATCCTTATAGAAAATACAAGTACACAATTCATTACATATAATGATTCATTATTTCGACAACACTTTTTCATTTACAGCTGATAAAATTAAAACGTTTCTTTTGACATTGTTCTCTTCTAGAACTCTTATACAACATACCTTCTTATACAAGCTTGTCAGAGTCGGATAATCCCGATACATTGTGGACTCAGGATACCCTATGAGTAGCTTCCTCTACTCTACCTGTACATCGTTTTGTATTTCATGCTTTTGACTTCAGGTAGTAGTTGGGTAAGGGCTCCGCAACAAAAGGATGGAGCCTAAGTGCTGTTAAACAAAGATGTTCACCCACCAACCCAAAACAATTCTGCAAAACGTACACAGTAAATACATTCAAAACAAAAATGTTAATTCAAGACAACAGTGTTAATCTGCGTGTATCAGGGCCTTGTCACTGCAATACACAACTTGATGAACTCTGTTTGATAAACATGAATTGAATTTCCAAAGCTAAGAAAACAACATTCAAACATCTGCAGTACAATAATGTTCCAGGGCCATTAACAATGGCTTTATTGTATATTTTTTGACAACTTTAATTTTCGACATCTGCAGTACATTAGTGTACCAGGGCCTTAAACGGTGACTTTATATCAATATATTTCGAATTATTCATTTTGAAAACATTAATTTTCGACATCTGCAGTACACATGTGTACCAGGGCCCTAAACAGTGATTCATTTTATACCACTATAGTATTCATTTCTAATTTTCGACATCTGCAGTACAAATGAGTACCAGGGCCTTAAACAGTGAATTCATTTCATACCATTGTATTATTCATTTTGATTTTAATTTTCGACATCTGCAGTACAAAAGAGTACCAGGGCCTTAAACTGTGATTCATTTTATACCATTGTATTATTCATTCTAAAATCTTTAATTTTCGACGTCTGCAGTACAAATGTGTACCAGGGCCTTAAACAGTGAATTCATTTCATACCATTGTATTATTCATTTTGAAAACTTTAATTTTCGACATCTGCAGTACAAATGTGTACCAGGGCCTATAACAATCAATTCATTTTGTATCATAGTAATGTTCACTTTGAAAACTTTTATTTTCGACGTCTGCAGTACAAAAGTGTAACAGGGCCTTAAACAGTGATTCATTTTATACCATTATTGTATTCATTTTGAAAACTTTAATTTTCGACATCTGCAGTACAAATGTGTACCAGGGCCTTAAACAGTGAATTCATTTCATACCATTGTATTATTCATTTTGAAAACTTTAATTTTCGACATCTGCAGTACAAATGTGTACCAGGGCCTTAAACAGTGATTCATTTTATACTATTGTATTATTCATTTCGAAATCTTTAATTTTCGACATCTGCAGTACAAATGTGTACCAGGGTTTTAAACCGTGATTCATTTTATAATATTGTATTATTCATTTCGAAATCTTTAATTTTCGACGTCTGCAGTACAAAAGTGTACCAGGGCCTTTAACAATGAATTCATTTTATATCATAGTATTTTTCATTTTGAAAACTTTAATTTTCGACGTATGCAGTACAAAAATGTACCAGGGCCTTTAACAGTAAATTCATTTTATACCATTGTATTATTTATTTTGAAAATATTAATTTTCGACGTCTGCAGTACAAATGTGTACCAGGGCCTTAAACAGTGAATTCATTTTATACCATTGTATTATTCATTTTGAAAACTTTATTTTCGACATCTGCAGTACAACAGTGCATCAGGGCCTTGAACACTGAAATCATCTTATACCATTGTATTTCATTTTGGAAATTTAAATTTTCGACATCTGCGGTACAAAAGTGTACCAGGGCTTTTAAAAGTGAATTCATTTTTATATATCATAGTATCATTCATCTTGAAAACTTTAATTTTCGACGTCTGCTGTACAAAAATGTACATGTACCAGGGCATTAAACACTCGACTCATTTTATAATATTTTGTATTTTAAAACGTTTAATTTTCGAAATATGCAGAACAATAATGTATCAGGGCCTGAAACAATGGCTCTATTTAAATATATTTTGAAAATATTTTGAAATCTTTAATTTTCAACATCAGTAGTACAAAAATGTACCAGGGTCTTAAACAAGAGCTTTATTGAAATATTTTTTGTATAATACATTTTCAACACTTCAATCTTTTACATCTGCAGTACACTAGTGTACCAGGGCCATAATGTAAACAATGACTTTATTTAAATATATTTTTTGAGAATTCATTTTTAAAATTTTAATTTTTGACATCATCAGTAAATAGTGTAGTAAGTGTACCAGGGTCATAAAAAACGAATGGGGGATCCGTTTTATACATATGCACTACCACGGTACTAGGTCCCATAACACCTATATGTGCACCAGGACCCACATCAACTGCATTGCACATATCACATCAACGCACATCTACCAATGACACAGTGCCTAATATCATGCTTCCAGTACTTATAATCATTACCTATATGTGCACCAGGACCCACATCAACTGCAGTGCACATATCACATCAACACACATCTACCAATGACACAGTGCCTAATATCATGCTTCCAATACTTATAATCATCACACATATTGATAATTGCATAAAATCTTCTTATACTGGAAATAAGAACCAGATCAAACCAAAAACAATGTTTTAACTTTCTCTTCTGAGCATGTACATACATGTACATGTAGATTCAGACACATCTTGTACTTCAATATATCTGTGAAATATTAATGAGTTGAAACTTTGTCTTTATACACTAAAGTCCAAAAAGAGGCCAATTTCCATTTTGTACAATTATTGCCCTTATACCCCAGCACCTACTGCGCTAGCAACTAAATGTATAATCTTAAGTTCTCTTTCACAAAAATTTCGGATATATGATGAACAAATTTTCAACCATATCTTCTTAATTGCAATCTTAAAATAAAGTGTACCGTCCCAAAATGTTTGTAAAGCATATAGAAACGTTTTCCCAACAACCTACACAAACGTTACCCATAATGACAATATTTTCTGACGACTAGCAGAAGTCTTAGATTAATCTGAAGGAATAGAACAATATTTGTCTTTTGAATTCTTCTTTCTGGGATGGAAGCTTAGAATGCTCATGAATTCCATCTGATACCCGACCGTTTTAAATCTTGCACTGTACTGAAAATCGATTTTTTTTTTTTTTTTTATCTTATCTCGTCTAAGGATAACTTGATAATTAAACCTTAAAATTCTCTGATATACTCTTCAAATGACTCTAACATTTCAATGCCATCGTAACTAAAATCAAACACTTCTTTCGCTCAAATGCATCTTTTAACACAACCTGAAATAATAACATCTCCAATGATTTCTGAAATAAACGAAAAGTTCTATAGAGTAGATTTTGTATACTAACTCTAAATAGCCTATTTGCTAAATGAATATAAAGTCGTTCATATCTCAGAATATTTTCCCAGAAATCATAATGATTTCACAAACTATTATTCATTTATTTTAAGACCCATTTGAATATTTTATTGATAAAAACCTGCAACCCAGCTAACACAAAAACATTTTAAAAATGTTTTTAAAACATTTTCAAAATGTTGCGAAAACATTTTTAAAAAATGTTTTAATCACGTGATTTTGTATGGTTTTTTAAACGTTTTTAAAACATTTTAGTGCAATATTTCAGCAAAATGTTGTCAGAACATTTTCTTAAAATGTTGCAAAAACATTTTCAATAATGTTTTAATCACGTGAATTTGTATGGTTTTTTAAACGTTTTTAAAATATTTTAGTGAAATATTTCAGCAAATGTTTCCGGAACATTTTCTTAAAATGTCACAAAAACATTTTACAACAATGTTTTAATCACGTGATTTTGTATGGTTTTTTAAATGTTTTTAAAACATTTTACAAAATATTTCAACAAATGTTATCATAACATTTTCTTTAAATGTAACAAAAACATTTTCAAAAATGTTTTATTCACGTTTAATTGGTTTGGTTTTTAAAACGTTTTCAAAACATTCAAGTCGAGGTTACGAAAGTATTTTCCTGAATTTTTACTTTATCTCATTAAATAATGAAATATTTATATTTTAAAAGAAATAAACACAAATTATATTAATTTTTGAATCTTTAATACAAACCCATATTCAATATGTTAATCACATTTAAATTCCATTCTCGGTACAAGTTTTAATTCATATTATTTCAAGTCACCGGGTTTTTAAAGGTTGAAAACGGCGTCTAATCCATTCACTGAATTTTAAAAGAACAGAATCACAGAAATCCTATGTTCACTGTAAACATGGTATAGGTAGAACAGAGCGGCGGATCTATAAGACTTAGTTAGAATCACATACACTGAAAAGGCTGATAAGATACTGCCCCTCGGAGAGAATAGCACAATCTGTAAAGATAAGGAAAATTGTGTTTGTATCAGCGTTCTACATCTAATGTATCTTAAGATAATCAATGAAAATATACAAAAAATATTTTAAATAATTATATCAAATTTAAGTTCTTTCCTCATTTGCATTGAAAAAAGCAGAACAATATTATTGAAGAGTAATAGTATTTACGTACACCTTTGCCTTCACCAAAGGCGGGTCTTTTGAATGTGGGAATTTGAAAATACGGATGATGCAACCAACACCATGCTGTAAAGAAATTTCATTTTTAAATCAACATATTGTTTGATGATTAACATTTCACAAAGACAACGAATAATTGAATCAAGGATATAATTGTGTTGCCTTAAGAATGAAATATTCAAATCAAATGCATGTATATGACCTTAACGCTTTGTCATTGCTACATACATTTGTACAAAGTTATTGTTGATCATACACTGGTAGTATAAAAGTAATTTTAAATGATCTTTTAAAGTCTATGATAAAGGAATAATTCTTACCATTCAAAGTTAATAAATCCCGAGGTTATTATTGTGGTTTATATGGTGCAAAGTCTTCTCATTCAAATCGGCACGGAGTAAGCGCGCACATCTTGTTTACCAGAATTCAAAATTTGGCCTAGATAAGCAGCAAACCACTATACTCTGTAACGCGCTGCCCAGCAGGAGAATTACATAAGAGGTTATCATGACACTGAAACTGACCAGTGTGCCAATCCCTATCTAATGCTTCAGAGTAAAATTCTGGGAGTGGATCACAGATTTGATGAAGAACATTTTTTTTAAAAAGACATTAAGAGTTTTATTTAATGCTTATGATTTTATACATTTATTTATATTTTAAATTTTTTGTTTGTCTATCCTTTCATTTATTGATTTTTTTATTTGTTTCATCAAAGGACTTTATATAAATTATGTCTGTTTTATCAATAAGCCAAAACTAGAAATCATTATAAAATACCGGAAAAAAATCTTTCAATTAAAAAATAACTACAGTTCCTCATTTTAACACTATTCTTTCTATATATTCTTTTTTTTTCTTCATAAACTAAATTTTAGAAAAATCGCAATAATACATTATTTGAATGTTTTAAGAACATTTTGAAAATAACAGCAGCAATGAAAAATGAAGTCTTTAAAAAAAGAAAACACATTAAATTGAATGTTCTTAAATCATTCTCACAACATACTCTTAAAGTTACTAAACGAATTAAATTGTGCTGCAATTACATAAATGTTTCAGAAACATTTTGAAAATGTTTCCAAAAAATGTCAAAACTTTAATTAAAATGTTTCAATTGTAGTGAAAATAATTATTTTAGTTAATGTTTTAAATAAACATTTTCACTGCCTAGGCCGAAAAATATCCGGAATTGAATGTTTTTAACTAACAGCGATATTAAGAATGTTTTAAAAATATTTTTAAAATGTTCCTTACAAATGTTTTAGAAACGTATATGCAAAGTTTCCGATTTACAGAAAAAGAATGTTTCATTTCATGTTTTAAGAACGTTTTTAAAACGTTTTATAAGATCTTTGATATTTGGAAGCTATAAAAACCCTTAAATGAATTAAGAATGTTTCAAAAACATTTTGACAACGTTCCTTCCAAATGTTTCAGAGACGTATTTATGCAATGTTTCAGATTTATGGAAAAGGAATGTTTCATTTCATGTTTTAAGAACGTTTTTAAAACGTAATATTAAAATCTTTGATATTTGAAAGCTAAACATACCTTTTGAAACATTTTTAAAACGTTTCAAAAATATTTTTAAAAAATATTCCAAAAGGATTTAATCATAAGCTTTTTGAAAACATTTTTAAAATGTTTTTAAAATGTTATAATGAGAAAAGGAAATGTTTTAAAAACATTTTTAAAATGTTTAGTCTGAAATGTTTTGAAAAAACCTTTTTACAACACCAATAAAATGTTTTGAAAATGTTTTGTGCTACCTGGGAATGTTCAATCGTTAACTTATCAAACATATCTACTGATAATATATACTTATCAATTTCACTTCAAATGGATTGGAGTTTATACCGCTGATGTATTGATTGTTGAGGTGCCAACCCTGGCCGTCTGCAAGCACTTGTAGCATAAGTCCCTGGACTTGTTTCCCTCGTATTTCAGTTAACCCGCTACGTTTCCGGGTGTAAATAGCAGCAAAAATGCATATGAATTAGACGTGGACTGTGACTTCTCTGACTCTAGTAACAAAGGAATTCCTGCATGTGTTTCGTCAGACATAGGAATATGCCGCTCATAATCCATGGGGACACTGAATAGATACGTCTGACTGCACTGAGAAAGAGCCTTCGAATGGCATTTAAATCTTACACACGCTAAAGCGTGCGTGCTTTAACACCGTATACAACGGGTAACGCGGGGGAGTCGCTAAAAAGTATGGGGGAGTCGTTTTCAACGTATGGGGGAGTAGATTTTCACCGTTTCGGAGTCAGAGGAGATGTGGGTCACGTCTTTTTTCGGTATATAGAAGATGTATTTACAAAAAACAAATATCCCACGGAAGGTGGCAATAGTTAAGCTTTATCATGGTCATTTATCCGGCTATTATATACGTCTAGTTTTCTCAAACACTTCGAAACTATTATTCAGTTTTCATATTTACGTTGATCGGGTAGTAAAAACATGCATGGTTTGCACAATCAACGGCTTGCGTAGGGATTCTCATATTTAAAACAGCGAGAGAAAACGTTTATCTTTTAAATGCAACAACTTAAACTTGACTAGACTTTTTAAAAATTAATAATTAAGACATTTTCTCTTCAGACAGTAACGGTTACGTAGGGGGGAGTCGTTCATGGGAAAGCACATCGCAGGGGGAGTCGCAAAATAAAGTCAAATGCATATACTTAGTGTTGTTTTCATCTCTTTTATACTGCCAATACCTTTTTATTTACACGTAGATATCTATAAATCTATGTTTGGTTATTTACTTTATAATCTGAAGTTACGAAAAGAGATTTTTTCTGTGGCTTCATCAGTTCCAGAAAACAATCAGCAATTTAGATAACATGATCAATTGGATTATATATCATGTGCTTGGGCACAGGACCCTCCCCCTCAGTAAGTAATGTTCGTACATGTATATTACAAAGATTCAATTCACCAATTCACGAACCCTCACTTCCAATATGAAAGCCTCTCCATAAAAAAAAGAACAACCCGATTAATAATTTGGAAAATTTCTTAATAATATCAAACATTTCTTTATTATTATTGTTTCAGAATACTTAAATACTGCTAATGTGTGAATACAATTTGGTGGTCGAACTGTTGTAACCTCCTTTCACCACCCCCCCTTTTTTTTTTGCTTGTCAATTTTTTTCAGGTGAGTTGTCTGTAATTTTTATTTGTTATACTTTTAAAAATTGTTATATAAATTTACACTAAAAAGAATAACCTTTCTACTGTTTTCATAAGTCAAATAGTCAAATAAATAGCTGTTTGACCATGGAGCGAGATGTCGGACCTTTCGATGAGATAATGCACCGTTTACGTCAAAGTGTGGGTGGGGTCAGCTGTCAGAACTTTATGGAATTGACAGTTTTTCAATGCAGTGAGGGTTAACAAAAATTCCATCATGATAATATCATAATAAACAGTAAAATGTATAACAAAATATTTATCGAATGTGTTCTCTAGATCTGGCAAAACGTGTTTTTGTCGACCCCTTGAACAAAACTATTTGCCTTCGGCCTAATCGTCTCGTGCAAACAGTTTGGTTCTTGGGTCCGACAAAACGCATGTTGCCCTCGAACCATGTCTATTAATGTATAATGCTGGTTGCCTAGACTGATTCTGGTACAGCAACCCCCCATGCTACGTGTTCACGAAACTGCGAAGGGGGGAGGGGTAAAGGGGGAAACATGTTCTGAGGAACTGTATATATCTGAGGCAAGGTAAGGGAGGGTATCATGATAATGAAATGTATACATTGAAGAAATATTTTCGTATTTCTTCTTTTCAAAGTTTGTGTTTAATTATTTTTACATTGACACTTCTCATTTTATTTATCATATACATACATTTCCAGCGCTTAGGTATTATGCAATCCAGTCCCTTCTCATAGGCGTAGTCACAGGGGGCAGCGGGGGCACTAACCCCCCCCCCCACTTTCAGATCTGGGGGGCAAGAGTATGTCTGTGCCCCCCCCACTTTTTAATGATTGATTGATTGATTGTATACTGTTTAACGTCCCTCTCCAGAATATTTCACTGATATAGAGATGTCACCATTGCCAGTGAAGGGCTGCATATTCAGGCCTATGCTCGGCACTTACGGCCTTTGAGCAGGGAGGGATCTTTATCGTGCCACACCTGCTGTGACACGGGGCCTCGGTTTATACGGTCTCATCCGAAGGACCGCCCCATTTAGTCGCCTTTTACGACAAGCAAGGGGGTACTGAGGACCTATTCTAACCCGGATCCCCACGGGAAGACTTTTTAATGAAGAACAAAATCAAAGCTATGTTGAAATAATATTAAACCTTATTTTATGGCAATTTTTTTTTAATTTTCAACAACTGAGTAAGCATTTCTCTTGAAGTAATAGTTGTATAATATAGTAATGTAATATAGTAATTAAATCTGTCAAGACCTCTTGTGTTCGCCAGTTTGGGATAGGGAGTGCGGGTCATAAATTTAAGTTAAGACGTTTCTGTTTCTCTCAGCATCTGTTATCTAACAAAATTAATATGAGAATCACAAGCTTCCCCTTGTGTTGACATCTGAAAGTCATTATTTGTGAACTGATAAAACCACAGAAAAAAATCTCTTTTCGTAACTTCAGATTATAAAGTAAATAACCAAACATAGATTTATAGATATCTACGTGTAAATGGAAAGGTATTGGCAGTATAAAAGAGATAAAAACAACACCAAGTATATGCATTTGACTTTATTTTGCGACTCCCCCATGCGATGTGCTTTCCCATATACGACTCCCCCCTACGTAACCGTTACTGTCTGAAGAGAAAATGTCTTAATTATTAATTTTTATAAGGTCTAGTCAAGTTTAAGTTGTTGCATTTAAAAGATAAACGTTTTCTCTCGCTCTTTTAAATATGAGAATCCCTACGCAAGCCGTTGATTGTGCAAATCATGCATGTTTTTACTACCCGATCAACGTAAATATGAAAACTGCCAAATAGTTTCGAAGTGTTTGAGAAAACTAGACGTATATGATAGCCGGACAAATGACTAGGATAAAGCTTAACTATTGCCACCTTCCGTGGGATATTTGTTTTTTGTAAATACATCTTCTATATACCGAAAAAAGACGTGACCCACATCTCCTCTGACTCCGAAGCGGTGAAAATCTACTCCCTCATACGTTGAAAACGACTCCCCCATACTTTTTAGCGACTCCCCCGCGTTACCCGTTGTATACAGTGTTTAACAGAATACCTGTAGAACAGGTATTCTATAAATACTTCAACCAATCAGACCGACACTCTTCATATACACTAGATTAACACGTGTCCGATTGATACACGTGTTATGATAACTTCAATAAATACATTTGAACAATCTGATGGTGGATCATAGGCGGGCGCGTTTGCGGAATGATATTTCTTGCGCCAAACCTGTTTTTAAAAATATGGAATGAAGTTGTGTAGTTGCCTGTATCTAAAATGATTAAACTAAGAAATTGGTACTCTTGCATTTGAAAAATTACAATAATAGTTTCATTGAATTTGAAATTAAAAAGGAATGTTATAGGTGGCTTTCAATACCTGTTTCATTGTCTTGCATGAAGGTTAAAAATGTTTGATACTTTATGAACGACACTTAGATCTCATTACCCTCCCATGTTCTTAAATACAAATACATACAAACATCACTAAGCGGCACGA